TACAGAATAGTGCTTTATCTAGTCAAGCCCGTAACAATCTACTCCGTACCTGGGCTCAACAGACAAGCCATCGAATGACTCTGGGAAATTAAGTAAATGGAAGACGAGCATTCCGGCGTATCATCTCCATGGACAGCACCAATTACGGATAAACGAAGCTAAGGCCTGTGTTGAGAACTTGAGCGAGTACCAAATGGCCTATGCTCACCAAAATACCCCATGTCAATTCCACACCTCCCTGATCCACAACATAACCTCAAGAATGGAGCACATAGTCTCCTGTCTAGATTCTAGACCATTTTTATTCAGATGGAGCAAGTACGGGGTGCAACCGGAAGATCACAACACCATCGTTTGGACTATGGAGTACACCATTGAGTACGACATCATAATGGTCAATGCAGACGCAGTATGACCTTCTCCTTGCCAGCACTCCGTACTCTCCAAAGAAACGATAGCTCCACGGAGCACAGAGTACAAGATTAACCTCTTTCTAGACGCTCTCTGGACCCACCAATCGCCTATTAAGCTGTGAGCCTGTGATTACTCCCCACGTAGAAGATAGGTAGTTAGAAACAAGCAGCAGAGTTGCGGTGAGCGGTTGCGTTTTCATCCTGCTTGACGTGAGGTACACTAAGTGTACCTGAGTCAAAGCTCATAAGCATGTCACTAGGGGTAGCTGTACAACTTGGTATCTACTGCTGCCCTGAGTCTGTTCCTAGTGGAGACTTACAATTAGGGTACGCCGTGAGGTGTGCGGAGTACCTGAGACTAGTATTGAGCCATGTAGACTGATAGTACTTTCTTGACCGACAGTTCCTGGATATGGGCCGTAGTTAGAGCTTCAGACCGTCTAGTGTACTGTGTAAAGTACCTGTTGTAGGTGGCAGAGAGGCAGATAAGACTCAATACCGTAACTCTTCTTTAGGAGTGTGGACAACCTTGTGTGGAGCTGGCTGTCCGTAAGGAGGAGAAACTATCTTAAAGAGCTTCTAGATGGGATAGGCGCATTGTTCCTGCACTCTTTGGGATACCAGTCATTGCAGTTGCAGCTGATGATGATCTTAGATTGGAGAATAGTGGCATCGCGGCGTCGAGCCTACGGTGGTTGATCTGAGTCGATTAGTAACCACTACCTACCTTACATGATTTCCAGATAGTTTCAAGAGTCAGGGCCCACGCTGAGAAGCCATAATTTGTCTCTGAAGTTTCAGTATGTGGATTGTTTCAGACTGGGCTGGTAGGATAATAGAAGACAGGTGTAATAGGCATGGATTAAATGGGCATTTGTGTTTAATTTATCTTTGAGCCAGCCATACAAAGTGTAACCGACCATGTCTGATTGCTCTTCTCATCATAAGAGGCAATTAATAGATTATCTTTCATCTACACAGATGTCCCAATGAAATATTTTGAGTTGCTTGTTAGGTGCCACGCCTTGCCGTCAGCGTGCCCAATCACTCCTCAACGCCTATCGAGTCCAGCCCATGTAATCCCACACAAAGTCTCTGAGGTCATCGCGATTGCCCATTGCCTGCCTTTTTCCATCGGTCCGCCCACCCATCATTCATCGTTCGTCGAATGCCCAGCGTCCTTCGCCCTGTTGATCCCGCCTGTTGCACCATGGTCATCGTAGTGGTATGAAACGTGGCCACGGGCCGTACGCCGCCTACCGCACCCGAAGGCTTCTTATTCTCACCAGTACCGCGTTCAGAAACGAGAGTCTCTTTCATATTCGGTAGTCCCTGATTCTCCTGACCATTTTGCAGGATTCGTTTCTCCGTGGGCCTTGAGGATGCGGCCAACCAATTATACTCGTTGATACTTGATGGCTCGAGAACCGGTCGAGGCGGTTGAAGGCGTTGCGTCTGCGGGCGATGAGATAAAAAACGAGAGGGAATGACGCTTTTGAAGGCGGGGTTTGACAAAGGGACGTGGTTCGCTTGCCCGATGATGCCTCCGGTACCGATTTGAGGCTGCGAAGACGCCAGGGGGACTGGTAGACCAGGATCCTTAGCTTGCGTCGAAGACTTGCCGAAGAATTGCGAAATGTTCTCTTGAGAGAGTCCAGCCGCACTGCGACCGGCTGGCCCCATGCCGTTGGGGTTGGATCTGCAATCGACTTTGGGGACTGAAGACTGCGCGGCCTGTGAAGCAGACGTGGTGCTGATGTACTCTCGCGCCGTTGAGAAGCCGAGCGACATATTTGTTGGCACGGATAACTGCGGATTGTTAATGGTGTACGTAGAGGATGACAGATAGGTCGTGCTGGAAGACGACGACGGATTTGAATTGTAGCGCCGCCTCTTGGGGTCGGGTTCTTCGTCCCAAGCCCTCGAGCCATCCCACTTGACCACGGCATCGGGAGCTTCTTTGCCATCAGCCGTCCACTGATCATCTCGCAACGAAGGAAGTGAGTCATGCGTCGCAAGCATGCTCGCAGAAGAGGGACGGGGTCGCCGTAGGATGTCAGCGATTCCATACACGACCTTTTCTTGCAAGTTAGGCCCAAGGGATCGAAAGCGATTTTCAATGATTTTCTGCGGAAGGAAACTCGTCACGGTTGTCGTCGCTTCGTCGTTGCGGGATGACCTCAGCGGATAACTCAGGTATAACAACGCCTGCGCTCTTGTCATGGCAACGTAAAGCAACCGTCTCTCTTCGTCCGAGTCCTCTGCGCGCGAGTGGGGGATAATGCCGTTGTACACAGCTGGCACAAACACCACAGGCCATTCCAGGCCCTTTGCTGCATGAATGGTGGAAATAGTCACTTTTTCTTGGGGTTGATCCCCATCTTCAGAGAGGACTTCGGTCGATAACGCCACGTTCGCCAAGAATTGCGATAATGCTTCTTCACCTCGATGAGCCTGCTGTTGGGCAAGCCCCTGAATTTTAGGCAGACTATCATCCTGATCCTTTTCAGCTGCAGCTGCAGCAGCGTCACCTGCCTGGGTCAGGAGCTCTTCCACGTTTGCCCATCGGTTTTCCTCATTCTGACCGTAGGTTGCTGTAAGATATTCTCGGAAGTTGAGTTTCTTGATCACAAACTCAAGAAGCTTGCGAGGTGCGGAGCCGTCCGTACATTCGAGGAGTTTCTGCCTGGATGATTCAACGATCCCAACCAGAGTGGAAAGGCCTTGGTCAGTAAGTTTGGACAGGCTTTTGTCGGTCGACCTGCGACCCTGCGCTACATCTTTGATAAAATTCCACAAAGGAATCTTCGCTGCGTCTGCACCATTCAACAGCGTCTTCACAGACTCCTCGCCGATCTTTCGTGATGGTATGTTAATGATGCGCAGGAGCGCGTCACTGTTCCCGGGGTTGCTTATGACTCTCAGGTAGTCCAATAGTACTTTGATCTCAACTCTGTCAAAGAAGCGAAGACCACCAACCATCCTGTACGGTACGCCTTGCTTTCCCATCTCGGATTCGATATGTCGCGAAAGAGCAGCTGATCTGAGCAGGATAGCAATATCCGAGTAGTTGAGCAACTTACCCGTCATAGCTATGGATCGTTTGATCTCAAGCACGATCCATTGAGCCTCGGCCTCCGCAGTTGGTAGCTTGCGTAGCACAGGCATTGTTCCCAGGCAGTGAGTCGGCTGCAGCTTCTTGGCTGGTCTAGAGGAGTCCTGCTCGATGACGTCCTGCGCCGAGCTTAATATAGAGCCAGATGAGCGATAGTTGTCTTCTAATAGTATCACCGATGTGTCTTTGTAACGCTGTTGCATTCGACCGAGGTTCTTGATCTCCGCCGACCTAAATCCATAAATACTTTGGTCCGGGTCTCCGACGACTGTGATCTGACGATTTTTCGCTGCAAACAAATTCATCAACTCGTACTGAATATGGTTAGTGTCTTGAAACTCATCGACTAGGACTGCCTGGACGTTGGAAACGCATTGTGGATGTCTCCTCAGCAAATCGGCGCATCGGAGAAGAAGGTCGTCATAGTCGAGCAAATTGGACGTCGCCAGGTAGCTCTCATACTCGCGATAGATTTGGACAAATTCGTGATGCTCTGCGGACTTTGAACCTCTGGAATACTTCACCGCGGCCTCATCCGGGCTGATGCCGTGAGCCTTCTGGTGAGATATGCGCGCTCGAGCAGTGTTTGGCTGGATGCTGCACCGTAAACGTTTCACTATCCTCTGCAGATAGCTTTATTTAGCAACAGATGACTAGAGTGTATAGAAGATCAAGGTGTCGACAGGTGACCCCTACTTTGATAATTGCCAAGCTATCGCTTGAGTCCGCGATGCCGAAACCTCTCCGCAGCCCGATCAGATAGCCATAGCTCACCAGGTACCGACGGCATATTGAGTGGAAAGTTCCAAGAATCAATTTAGACTGTACTTCATCGCCTACCAGCTTCGCAAGCCGTTCTCGCATCTCACGACTTGCCTTGATGGTGAACGTACAGCAGATGACATCCTGCGGTTGGTATCCATAATGCGATAGGAGATACGCGACGCGTGCGGTCAACGTCTTCGTCTTTCCTGAGCCGGGAGGAGCGAGAACTTGCAGGATAGAAGCAGGTGAAGTTACTGCGGCTTTTTGAGCGGTGTTCAGACCTTCCAATGCGGAATCCATGTGAACCAGAAAAGATCGATTTGTCGTTGGTTAGGATTACATGCGTTTCACCCGCGACAGGTCGAGACACGCTGCGACACGGGATCATGTGACCAACTATGTGCATAATCGCAAACACACTGAGCTCTATGAGAGGTATTTTGGAAATATCATTGAAAAATTGATGAAATCTTAATAACAGCCTTGAAAATGTAATAGTCGAAGTATCTATCTTCGCGACCAAAGTGGGTATCATGAAACTGGAAGTACATAGCTGGGGGCGATTGAACCAAAAGCAAGACGAAAAGAAATCCCGGGCTCTTAAGACTGGAAACATCTAATGGTGGATCTCTGAAACTTCGAAGTTCTCGGAAGATACTTCGGTCAATCATCGTGTGCAGCTTGACGGCATGAATATGGCTGAGGGCTCACTGACTTGAACCAAAAATGCCCAACGGAATTGTCATTGCCACCACGAAGTTAGGCATGTTTACTGCCTCGATAATCTGTAGATCGCCTGCCACACTCGCTATCATATATGCCTCACAACGAGTCAAGCCCTTAGTGGCCACCATCCACTGGATGGTGTTCCGGACCGCTGTTTTGGAGGCCTCGTGAAGTGTTTGGCCGACACCGGTTGTTGCGTATCTGCCAGATACGGGCATTGTAGTTGTCGGCAGAGTGCTGGAGGAAGTCTCGTATTGAGGACTTGTCACCCACGGCATGTCCTTGCATAATTCGAAACGGAGTGTAGCCTTGATTGAGGTCTCGATTGCAGTTCCGCATACTTCTCCGTGGCCCTGAGCAGCGTGGCCATCACCACAGCTAAAAAGAGCCCCGTCCGTTTGCACGGGCAGGTAGAGCGTAGATCCGACGGTCAAGTCACGGCAATCCAGATTACCTCCGGCGTTTGTCGGAGGAACCGTAGACAAGTCCTTGTCTGTTGCAGGCGCCAGGCCCATACAACCCAGAAAGGGGCGCAATGGAATCCGTATATTATCCTTGAAAAGAACGTATCCTTGTTCCTTATTGATTTCCCAGATATGAAGCGAAGGATCCGGAAACTCATCTGCTAAAAGTCCAAATCCAGGAATAGTAGCTGTCCACCCCCAGTCCGCGGTCTCCAATGCGATGACTTCGATTTTCAACGTATCGCCAGGTTGCGCATCTTGAATATAGACTGGACCAAAGACCGGATTCGCCGCATTTATATCCAAGGAGCTTATTGCTGACGCGCCAGAGGTCCTCTCAATCCGCCCATTACTGCTATCAATCGTATCAAAGGTGACAACCTCCCCTGATGGAATAATTAACGCAGGTGGGATCTTTCTCGACCATCGCGCATGTCCGCTGTCGCGCCCAATATGGCACATCCGGCATGCCGGTGCTGAATTCATGATGTTGACTCGATGGTAAGAGCTTGATCGGAAGGGTGCTCCCGACACCGGAGAAGAATGATTGAACCTCTAACAGTACGGGTTCTCGCTCCAGCAAGAGCACGAAAAAGAAAGGAGATCAGGTCAGAGGAACTCTAGAATAAAAGCAACTGAATCATGGAAATAGAAGTCATCTTCAACTTTTAGCCTTCTAACAAGGCATGGCCGATCTATCATGAATTCGATATCATTAGCCAATCTGGAGTCCCCACTCCGATGGAGTGTCGAATATAGCAGCAAATTCCACGAGTCTCCTGACTAAAGAGAAATTTGAGACATTAGTAGACTGGATAGGCAGGTGGTATCTGATAGCAGGGAAAGATGATAATGATATGACAGGGCTTAACTGAGGCGAACCGGAATCTATACCAGAGAGGAAGGTGATGGAGGGTCTCCGTCCACGCAACCCTGGGTCGGTGGACTCCATGGAGGGCAGATGTCGGGGAGCTGCCGCTGGAAGGGATCCAATCAGGGGAGCAAATTTCGTGGTATCCGGAACCCCTCCATAGTCCATCAAACTATTATTATTGTTTTGTTTTTCACTGAGAATTTGGTAGATGATGATGATGCATGGACGGACAATCAGATCAGGTTCAGGCTGGGCTCGCTGTTTTTGATAGGGTGTTGACCAAGCAGCAGTTCTCTAGTCACAAAGATGGTGGAGTGTCATGGATGACTGAGTAAAGTGATTCTGCATGATGAGTGTGGGTGTGACGATCCATAGCCAGTGTATTTCAGACTTTTCAGTGTGATTATTATAACCAACCACCTTAGACTAGGTAGTGTTAATGCTTGTCGATAGGAGAAAAGCACCTTCTCTTTTAGGCATAGTGTATTAAACATTCTTTCCTTACAGTGCTCAAAATCATTGGAACTACGAGTACGGAATCCGTATCTGCTTCATAGATTAACACCACAGGATATTGACTTGCACAGGACTTTTGTTCTGTTTGATCTCTTAATTTGAACGAGGAACTCTGGAGTCCGAGGTCTATCAATCTAATCCAGATGCCCTATGTACATTTTAGCCGCTCTTGAAATTGCAACACACCTTTCTTCATATCCATCCAGCCCAGGTCCAAGACATCCAGAATTTATCACCTGCAGTGCATGTATCATCGCATTCAATCGCATACACTTCCATGGCAGATATTACAGGGTCATGTTACTGTTTTCTTCTTCTGACTGTCCTCACAGCCTGCTCCGCCTTGGTTCTAGGAGTTTTGACCGTCCAATAGAGCCACAATACAGGATGCGTTATCACCACCCCCCTTGGTTGTTCCAGCTACAGCAGTAGCCGCAATTTCTTGAGCTATGTCGCCAGCTCTCATCCCGCGCATGGATAATTTCATCACATGATGGATCAACGTTGCATCGTCAATGTTATCACTAACGCCATCGGACGTGACCACCACGAGATAACGTCGATCTGGCGAAAGCGACATCCGGGTCATGTGCGGTTCCACAGACAGAAAATCACCTCGAGTCTCTGGTGATGAAGAACTAGAAGACGCCCGTCGGGTCTTTGAGGATGAAAATTCGTCGCCAGCTTTGTTGATGGGGTTTTTATATTGGAGATCACCCAGCGCTCGTGACATGTTCAGGGATCCTTAGACAAGTTGAAAAGGAAACTATCAGGAACTTGATGTAACTTTGGGCATTTTGCATGACCATACGCACCTAAGCGAGCAGTTCCTCTTCTCGTGTTGATAGTGCCGCCAGCATCTTCAATTCGAGCCTTTTCGTCGGGTGTATCCGGTTTATGAGACTTTGAAAGCCGTCGCTAGTGCAGCAGTCAGCCCAACCCCTCGAGAATCAGCAAAATTCCCTCACTTACGATATGGTATGGGTGGTCGGTTCCGCTGTCGCGTTCCGCCAGGATGACGTGGGAGTCTCCGAGGTTGGCTACAACAAGATCGCCCTTGGTGAGATTGACGAAGCACAGCGCGACTGTGGAACCGGAAACGGCAGGCTCGGTGGTTAGATTCTTATAGGTGTCCAGCAAAACAGCATCTTCATCGGCCAATGCCCCTCTTATGGCTGCTTCATAGTCGCCTTGGTCGAACTCGGGACGTTTAGCGAGTAACAGGTGCAGGTTCCGGCTGGCATGATCCGAGACTAGCTCGGAGCCACTAAGTATTAAGGTCAGCCGGCATTCTCGTAGTCACTAAATCGAGAAAGCCCTTACTGCCCGTCGTAGATCGCGAAATAGGTGAGCTTATCGTTTGTCTGGGAAGGAAACTGATCTGGCAGAACGAATGTGCAGCGATCCTCCTGAAAAGGTCGACCCCCTTGGACCTGGAGTTGGATTAGTCGAATAACAACGGCTGTACTTCTGATTAATTCTAAAATTGAAAGGGTTTCTCACTTGGCCTGCTCCTGCATCGAACAACAGAAGCGCATCTGAGGTTGACAAGATAGTATTGCGAAACATCTGGTATTTGAAGTGACTTTTGGCAATTGAGTATAACCGCTCAACGTATCACTTCAGACAGATGCTCGTGGTAATCATCTAGGAGAGTCAACGCTGTCAATCGTTTGAATATTGCCCAGCCAAGTGGTGGCACCTTGACATCATGACGCCTCGAGATCAATTACAGCACTTTGCTTAGCCGTCATATCGTGCTCATCCATGGATGGCCACTGTAGGTCTTAATCCGTGGATTGAGAGTAGCACAATAGATTGCTCGAATCATTGCTAACTAAGCTTCTGGTACACTCATGTGCTTTCCATGAGAAATTGCAGGTTGTCCTCTGCGGATGAGCATAATGAGACAGAGAATCGAGTAATAATCAGAGCTTGGCCATGAAGACTGTCTTCAGAAGAGTAAGTAAGGAGAACAGTTCGTCTCTTCAAAAAAAAAAAAAATGCAAGGTAGGTGGTTGTGTCTGGACCTATCAATATTCCATTATTCCACGCCAAAGTTGTGAGCACGAGCCACTGGTCTGTTTCTGTCGTCATTTTTTGCCTTTGCTCCCCTCCGATCTTCAGGCACCATCATTCATCCCTTTCTACAGATTGTTCTGGACCTCGGTGCTCCGGTATGGGCTGGGTCGGAGTAGTGACGCTTCTTGCGACTGCATGCTATTTGTTCTATCGATACCCTCCTGCATCATGGAATCAAGAGCCCCCTTCTGTCCCTTCGCCCCAGCCGCCGGGATCAACCTCCGATGAGGCGCAGACAACCGACCTTCCTTCGACAAATTCCATTTCGCAGAAGAAAGATTTGAAGGTACCGAAGAATGAGAATGAAGATGCGGAGGATCCCCAAACCACACCAAAAGCGTCAGCAACAAAGGCACCGGCTCCCGATGTCCCGACACTCCACCTTGCCAGCGACCAGACTGACGAGACAACGGGTTCGAGTAAGCGAAAGGATGAGCAGCAAATACGCGATGGCTCTGCCAAATCGGCGCTGGATTCTGAATCCATCACTTCAAGCGGAACAAAAACGATTCCCGTGGTGCCTCCGCGCCAGACCGAAGCCAGCACCTCCTCCTTGATGCCTCCCCCTCCCCCTCCACGTCTACGGCCGTCCACGCTACAAAACCAGCAGCCTCAAGCCGTCTCATCGCTAACCCCCGGACGATACCCTCCACGTCCCAGCGCAGGCAGCTCACTTCGTCCGCCACCGTCCGCTGCTGCCTCTCTGCGCGTGCCACCGGGCAGCCGCCCCACGAGCAACAACACGCTTGCGCCTACACAACTAACGCTGAAACCGTCGACTTCAGCTAAGAAGGCGATTTTGGAACCAGGATACTCGCCGCTCGATTGGGCCGCGCTCACAGCGAAGCCGAACAATAATCTGCGGGGTGCCAATCTACCCCCGACTCTCATCAGAGTGACACCGTCGATGCTGAAGGCGCAAAATGGACGCAAGGGTCGCGATGTGTGGACTTCCTACCAGGGCAAGGTCTACAACATCACTCCATACCTCCCTTTCCATCCCGGAGGCAAGGGAGAGCTGCTTCGGGGTGCAGGCAAGGACTCAGGGAAACTGTTCATGGAGATCCACCCGTGGGTGAACTGGGATGCGATTCTGGGGGAGTGCCTAGTGGGTATTCTCGTATCGGAGAACGAGGCGAATACCAACGAGAGCAGTCTCGATGCGATGGACTGATTTTATCATGCGCATTTTGCGGTACTTGTATAGACTTGGGCCTGGATGTATACCATGTTTTATTTGCACAACTAGATACCCATAGAGAGGTCTGCGTGGTGACCATCAACCTATATGACAACCTGGAGCATTCCAGCAAGCCTATGAGAACACTGCCATCTCGTTATAGCCTTCAAGCCAACAACCTACAACTCATCATTATCAACCCCTTCAATCTTCACCAGCTCCGTCTCGAAAATCAACGTCGCACCCCCGGGAATGGGCCCAATCCCGCGCTCGCCATACCCATACTCAGGCGGGATCGTCAGCGTCCGCTTCTCCCCAACACACATTTCCAAAAGCCCTTCATCCCACCTAGTTGATAGAGTAAACCCATGAGTCAGCACTGCGCCTCTGAAACAAAGGTCCCGGAAACGAGAAGCAAGAACTCACCCCTTAATGACCCGCCCCGCACCAAGCTTAAACTTCAACGGCTGGTTGCGACCATAGCTCGAGTCGAACTCGGAGCCATCCGCCGCGAGCGTGCCCCGGTAGTGCATGTGGACTGTATCGCCCTTTGCGGTCTTGCGGTTGCATTCGACCTCGTGGGTTTTCTCGATGCCGAGGTCGGCGGAGAGGGCGAGGGTGGTGAGGGAGAGGAGGAGGGCGGAGAGAAGTGGAATGCGCATTTTTGACTATTATAGATGATGCGAATGAAGGGATTGACTGAAGGAGATACCGGACGGTAGAGGAATTGGAGCGTTGTTGTGGTTGGGTCGGGTGGTGTTGGGCGTGATGTGCTCCAAGTCGAGGAAACGTGGTTAGATGGCGATCTGCCGGAGATTGCTTAGTATTCGTACTCCGGCGACGATCAAACGCATCAGCTATCAAGCATGTTTGATAATTGTGACTTTGTGACTTTGTGACTTTGTTGTTTCCCTTACAATCGTGCGACATATTGATCAAAATTTTATATCAAGTGGGAAAGGAAACCAGCTACCTTTTTACGAGACTCAGGTGAAGTAGGCCAACTTGAAGCATATCCCAGCGAGCACTTTAGATTATCTGGATATAGTCTATATACACGCACAAATACAATTTGGTTGACAGCCATGTACCCCTAGCGAGATTAAGCCCATTTCCCAAGCAACGCCATCAGCAATGCACCCAGACATAATAGACCAAAAGCCGCGAGAACATCTCGTATCGGTGCCTTACGCATAGATGGACTGAACATGAACTCATGCGCCATGAGCTCCACAAGAGCCGTGTAGATGAGGATACCGGCAGAAATGGAGTCGAAAACTCCGTTGACAATAAGAGTGGTGTAACCTTCGGGGGGGTAGCTTTTACGGACCCCCAGTCCGATAGCAATGGCAATAGGCGTAGAAACGCCATATGCGAGTCCGAGTAAGTAGGGAGTAAAGCGTTTTGAGCGGGGCCAAGGGGTCGTTGCCAGGCGGGAACCCAGACCCAGACCTTCGAAGGTTTGGTGGAAGACCAAGACAATGTAGAGCGTGACGAATTCTTCTCCGGATACCGCCAAGGTCAGGCCAATGAAGACCGAATGAAAGATGATACCAAACTCCAGGATGAAAATCGATGTCAACTGAGCCACATAGTCCTCAATTGAAGAATTCTTTTCACCTAGCTCGGCGTCACGATGTTCTCGGGAGTGACCGAGATGATCCTCTCCAGGCATGTGGCTTTTGGGGTCGACGGTTGCAGAGGGATTATCAAGAGACACATGATCGTCGTGTTCCGCATCATGCACGTGGCCCTGACCAAAGCGTGCGTACCGCATCACCATCAACTCAACGAAGAACAGCACAACAATGGTCATGAGGATGATACCTTCGACCCATGAGTATTCGGTAATCGGACCCGTGAGACATTCGTTAGTCAATGCCTCTTCTGCAGGTCCCAAGAGATGGATGAAGGCGGTAGCAATAATGACACCCGAGCCAAAGTACTTTGCAACAAAAAACGCCCATTTGGGAAATCCAGAGGTGCCAAAGTTCCGTGCAAAGACCGGAAAGATAGCACCGAACATCGAGCCGACCATAATCACGAAGATGGACGATATACGCAAGCCCATGCGTCCGTCGTACTCGTTCCCGGTATCACAAGAAGGTGTGGCGCCCGTCTCCGGGTCCCGCACGAGAAGAGTGTGAAGGCCTTGCATGATGGTTTTCCGTGCGACCTATAAGGCGGATCGACAGAGCCACTGGAAGGATAGATAGATGTCGCACCCCGATCCGCGACTCCAAACAGCACGGACCAGTTTCGAGCTATGAATGAGGAAGGTGCACAGATCAGATCACTCAAGGGATCGACGCAGGCGAAAGCCCAATCAGATCAAGGCAGAGGTCTGACAATGAATGCCACGATACAAGAGACACGTGGGAACAAGCTTGGATGAGTAGAGAACAGCGGTCTTGTCCTTCCTTGGAGGCTTGGCCAGGACTCTTATATTGGCACCGCCGTGCGTCAAGCTGTCAACAAGGTCGGAAGATTCTAATGACAACCCTCAAGGTCCCTACAGAATCCACTTAGACCGAGTACTAAAGCTGCTTAGCCTGTCATAAGAGCGAGGTCAGCCTGCTCGACCGTCGTGTATTCGCTGACAGGCAAGACAGCAGTAGGAATTTTAGTTCCGCAATTGAGGACCTTGGGGCACAGCGGCAGACCCAGAAGGCAACCAGAGAATCCGGGATTCAAAATGAATACGAGATGGGACTATCGAATGATGGACCCTCGTTCCTGATTGCCAAATTTACCACGAAGACAGACGAGAACCCTGTGAGATGGGGATAGGTTCGTCGAGGAATTGTACAAAGTACAGACGGTGAGAGTTGATGGTTGGAAAGCGGTCCATGGTGACGAGGAAGGAGATTTCAGCATATCTCCCACATCACACTGAATCATCTGTCTCGTTAGTGGGAGACTGGGAGTCTTTGACGGGGACCTTGGGAGAAAGCGGTCCCGCAAAAGTAACGAGCAAACAGACGTCAATACCTAGAGGCTAGAGAAGAGTTTTCGGTCTCCCCGTGAGGACCTTGGGAGCACGCCAACCCCATTTCCACTGCTTCTGATTGGCAGCAGCTGGTATCTGGGTGGGTCTATGTCACGTGAATCACATTAAAGCTGCAGGGAGTTCAGCTCGGACCAATTACCTTCTACATGAGATGCTTGTTGTATGCAGGGGCGACTCGAAGTCCTCACAGTGAGAATTGGGAATCTAGACGAAATCCAGATTACGGAGTAGAATGATATTACTAGAGGCAGTCGTTGTGATCCAATCTATTTAATGAAGAGTTGTACTCCGTACTAGGTACGTAGGAAAGAGAGGTGTGGTCGCGCCTATGGCGGCAACACAAATAGTAGGCGGTGTGCGGTCAAAGGAGGGAGGGGCTGGAATCGATATCCGCCGTCATGCAAGTAGGTAGATCCAAAGACTTCTCAAAGGGCTTGCGCAGAGAAGTGAGTAGGGGAAGCGCTTTGTAGAAGTTGATACTATTCACAGGGAGGTCATCTCAGTCACTTGGGAAGTATGAAGCTGAATTTATTACATTGACTGCCATTGAAGCACGAAGCTGGCGGTATAGAGAGGTATTACACGTCGAAATGTACTTAAGGTGTACCAAGCGTCCGACATCCAACGTTCCGATAATCGGCATCTGTCAAACCATAGGTCAGAATTCAAATAAAATGGCCTACTGACGCACGGAGTACAATAATGCCCTGCAAAGAGCAAATCCATGGAAAGGATGGGACATGGGGATATCTGGACTCTTCATCAGCCGCCATCAGTATAGATGATATGGAAGTCCACAAGGGCTCGTCCAAACAATTATGGCACAACATAAGGCCAACAATCCCTATGTTTCTATAGATTTGTATGATATAGAATTCTGAAGCTCACGAAACACCAGGTCGAAGGGATGGATCTTCTGATGTTTGGAAGGGTGAGTAACATGATCGGAGCTACTGAGGCTTGGCAAGGAATGGTCTGCCTTCCCATGCCATTATTATTGATATCACCTGTTCGTTCCAGCATGACTGACAGCTCGGGACAGCCACTTCACTGACAACCGTCTTTATCGTACGTTACTCGCAGCATTGTGATAGCACCGGCCTCCCTTTTCTTCAAGGATCTTTTGTAACGACGAATTTCAGCGGAGACAGATGCGGCTGGTCAACTGACTGTGACGTCAATCCTTCCACATCAGCATGGCACCAGTTCGGCGATACCTTCGAATTAGCAAATACTCTGTCCTTGAATGTCGAATCTATCTCGAGAATCCGTCAGATTCTCGGTGGCTTCTTGATAGTCGAGACCCTGTGCTCCCCCGGATATTCGCCGCCATTCGTCCTTTGGTCCTACCCAAGTTACGGGAGGAAAATGAAAGGTTGTATGCTAGGAAGAAAGGGAAGCCGGTCAAAGATGTGATAGCTGAAGGTACTATGGGCTTTCTATTTTGGGAATAGTGGACTTCGGGCTGATTATTGACTCTGATGCAGACGAGTTCGAGGTCGCCTTATTCCTTCGCGAATCTCGCACACGCCACTCACTCTTGACCCGACACAAGACCTTTGAGGGCACCGGAGACACGACAGATATTCCCATGATTTGGCCCGAAGGAGGCGACGATAAGATCTTGGTTGAGAGCGACAGTGAAGCTGACACCGATCTGCGCGATATTCCGCAAGCGAGCACAAGCGACGCCAATGGCAAGCGCCGCCGAGAGATGGACGTGCAAAGCCCAGGTGAACAACGCTCAACAAAGCGCCAGAAAGAAATTGATTCGCCTTTGGAGGAGCTTAGTGCTGACGGCGATGACAAAAAGCTACGATTTCGGACACAGTACGAAGGGTTCAATATCTACGGTTGGGTCCTATGTCTGCTGGTGACGCGAAAGGGTGATAAGGCGAGAGCTCGGCCAGCCGCTTCTGATACTTCTCGGCAGGCGCTAATGGAAGAGTGGATTTCCACTCAAGCCCAGGGAGACTTGAACGAAGACTGAAGCTTGTCCGATATTCTCAGGGGTGTTCTTTCGCAGCAAGACATGGTCCGTGAAAATGTGGCCGTGAGTGACATCCATGGTAGCAAGGGGTTGCCCCTTTCTGTCAGCTCCCTTCACTGTCAACCAATTTCAATGAAGTACGGAGAAGGAAAGCGACAACGCCATTTGCTACATACTGATTGAAACCTGCATGAAATCGTGCCATCAAAGAGTCTCATGACGATGAAAGGTGGGCCGTTACCTCGAGACCAGTGCCGGCAACTAGGGTATCCAAGCATACAACATGGATCACTTGAGGCAGGAGCCAAAAGGTCACTCAAATTGCGACCATATTGTTGTGCAATATCAACTGGAGTGCACGGATAGTTGCATCGCCTGGCTTGCTATCGCATGACAAAACAGCAAACCCTGCATCTGCTGTGAACCAATTGGCATTCGTCTCGGGGCAGCAACTACTCAATCTTACCTCTGTTGAGAGGCTTACACTTCGGCGGCATTGAACTTCATGTGCGAGTGTTTTATTTGGTAGTACAGCATGAATGTCTTACGCAACATGATTTGGGACTGCCATACTCGTGATACCAATACTACGATTCTTTGGTGGGGTCTCGAAAAGAGGTTCGTAGCCATCTTGAAGAGTGCTACCTCTTGTTATTGTTGTG